ATTAAATTGAGCAATTTTCAAAATTCTCAGAACGGAGTGAGCCCACAGTGCGATCAACGTGGATTTCTGTACTGAAAGTAGTGAGAGGCAGTAATAAAACGGACTATGCAAATTACTCTTTCATTAACCTAATCAATCGGAGTACTTGAAGGGTCAAAATTGAGACTGGTTAAGCGCCCTAGCGTGCACGCGTAATTAAGCCGCATCGATTAAACTGTCCTAATCTGTAAATAAACGTTTCTACATACGGATCAGCATACGAGGAACCCATGTGTATCCCAGAGGTCATGTGTTTGGCTAGCAGTTGTGATCTACATGCGAAAACTGTTTAATTGCAAATCCTAGAGGGTGGCACGAGGCCTTTCCGATTAGGGCTGATTTCCTCTTGCTCAGTTCTGGACAGGAACCAGCATGGTCGAGCTCATGAAACCGGCCCAGCGAACCATGAAACCACAACTGATTGAGAGAAGGCTGCGTACTTACTCCCCCTCAACTAAAGCATTATCTTGAATACACTTTACCTGAAGCATTTACGACTTTTATTGAAGTCACACATTACGGATGCGCAAGCATTTAACACCTGTGATGACATATCACCTCCATACACAAGGTGACTTGGCCAATGACACTAGTTGCACAAGTCAGCTGTGGCAGCCAATAAAACTGACACTTCAGGGGTTTATTACTTCATTTGCGTTCGCCGATTTGTTAAAAAATAGACTTGGACACAACATGCTCGACTCGATAACATCCACATTGACGAATACACCCAACTACCATAAGCACTGTTCGAATTCGTTTAGGTCATGATAACTTGAGGCGGTGACATTGGTGCAGCTGTTTTATGGGCAAACTGCCAAACCTTATGCCTCACTAGTTCCTTTTACAAGGATGTTAAAGCTTAAGAGGACGATGGTCTTGGGAAGAGCTCGGCGCTTACCCTATCACCCCGAAAACCAAACTTGGCTGTCCATTTGGTATTTTAAATGTGATCAATGGCAGCAGACAACACCTACGAAACTCACACATAAATCGAGTTACAAGCACGATAACGACCAGGCCAGCTCAAACCACCACAATTTACAACTAGCATGGTGGACAACATTCAAACTCAGATTAGTTATACTGAGGACATGGATTCCACTGCTGCCGACGCTTTTAGGCTCCGTTTTACGAAATCCGCTTTTACACAAGCATGGCCTTAGTCGATTCCGGTGCAGCCCTTACTGCTAGCTTCCTACCGCACCAATCCCAAATGAGCATAAACGCAGCTAACCCACATCGCGTTGCGCCCGTGTCAAGGAAGATGCATCTTCACCACAGGGCACGGAACTGTTGCGAATCCACCTCATGCGCCACGTGTTCATCAATGCACAAGTCAGTACAAGTACACCTCACACAATAGTTGTTTGGCCTTGGGTTGCTGGTAAACCTTGGACACGGCAGAAGAAAAACTCAAGCACCAGAGGCTAAACTTGATTACTTTAACATGCAAAGCTTACTAAGGATATGCGCAACATTGGAAATAACTTTCATGTCAGGGAAACTAATTAGTCGTTTTAGAAAAAAAAGCTTCGGAGACGAGACTCGCTGATTTAAAGCTGCAATTTTAGAGTCACTGCCCAGCTTTAGGGGACAAAGCCCATAAAGGAAAAGCGCAACGCCGGGGAGACCTCTCGTGCTAATGAGATTAATTAGTTATTTTAAAAGGAAGCCCCAGGGATGTGAAACCCAGTCGCTCCACCATGACCTGACCATACAACAGACTTTACCTTCTCACAGACTCGCCGCTGAAATCAGCCACTTTACAGTCACCGCCCTAGTTGCAAACTATGAAAGCACGTACCGGTTCAAAAGTAAATTTCCTACAAAACTCACGCCTTTATCGAAAATAGTATTTACAGTAAAGGGCCAGGGCAGGCCACTTTGGGGCTTACATGTTTTAATGCAGCTTTCGTTTCATAAATGCTGGCCTTCAAGGTGGGTGCAGATGAGGATTGACAGAGTGCAAAAAACGACCTGTGCGCACTCAAGTGGCAAAGGGAAATCCAGGGACCTCACACAAAACGGAAGAACGGGGTGCTGACGATGGTGACTGCTTACAGTGTATAACCATGGGAACGCGCACTAAAAGCAAACAACGACGTTATAAAACCACCGCCGCTCAAATGGCAAAGCAACGGCACATCCGACTTGTGAGGTGCGTTGGTCGAAGAGCCACAATATCCTCCAACTTGACACTACAACCCCTCGAGTCACGCTAACGATAAAATCAGCAGGAGCGGACTCAGCTTAAGCGCAATTTAATCAATGACTCACCCTGCAGGTTAAGTTAATGAACACCGAAAGATACTGGCAAAAATGACAACACTTTTGAACTGCTCTACTTAAGGAATATGGCTAAAAATTATCTCAACTCAGCGGTTCCAAGACGTTAGAACAATTTGAATGTTTAACTTGTCGAGGAGCTTGTTAATCTAAACAAGGGCCATCGTTGTCCACTTGACTGATCGAACGATGACGGGGTATTAGATAGGAGGTCGAATGCAAAGGTACCAAGACCCAGCCAGACTAAATACTCAATAGAACGGTTGCGCTGATTAAAGCGCAGATAAGGTGTCCATGAGTTTTAATGGCTGAGAATTATCGAAGGCTGCAAATTAGACGAGGCATTTGTCCCTATTTGAACCACCCCAGGACCTAAACGAAAACGTAAATTTTGACAAGCCGTGCGTAACCGACCCTGCAATCTGGAAATATGCAACAGTAATTTAGCCTACTTCCTAATGGGTTGCCGACACGACCTGACGGTGTTCTATGGTTCCAGTCTGTTTGAGAACATGCGCACGAGCTAGTTCCCTACACAAGTAGGAGACAGATGTCAAAACTAACCAACTTCAAAGAATGCCTCAGTTACTTTACTTAAAAAGCGCTTCCAACGGATGCAGCCAGATGGAGGCGAAGTGGCTTGACCACGACCGAAACTGCGATACCCAATTGGCCTTCAATTTTATTCAACAGCGGAATCATTACGAGCTGCCAGTTACTTTTAAATAACTCATACAAAACACCACCACCAAATAAACATTGCAAAATAATGACAACTTGGGTTCTGAATGGTCATTTGTGCAACGCATGCGAAGCGAATGAAAACATACTAGACCTCACTGGCAGGAAACATCAATGCACACAAATTTAGCCCTAACAAGATTGTCGAACTTGAGTAAAAAGGCCTTTGAGATTCTGGCAGATTTGTAACGGCCTCACAAAGCAACTGCACGACTGTAGCCTGGGAATATTATCTCGCCATCACGTGACTAAAGCAACAGTTCAAAGCGGGAAACCACTCCAACCCGAAGGGAATTTGACTTGCCAAGCACGTGTTGTCGTGCATCGCTTCGAACTATCGGCATACGTTAATGCTGAGGGCAAACTCAACCGTTGCGTCGTGAATGTTACGCCCGGAAATGAAATTAATAAAATGACCGTCCAAACAAACCATGTCAAGACTAAAGTACGTGAATGTGCCTTCGCGGTCAACCTAAATGACTGTACATTAGACGGTTAACGCTCCTCAGTTAGCTTTGGGCAAATTTTTACGCAACTTGCTTATCAATCAGCAGATGGTTAAGACAACTTTGCGTGCGCTCATTAACTTGAAGACCTGGATTGCCTACAATTTTGACGCTCGAGATGACATCTTCAACGCTACATTGAACCCCTGTTATTAAGCCCCACGCAAAATGACTAAGGATAACGAATCGCACCAAACGGCCCATTTCACCTTTTCTGGACACTGTCGCCAAACCCTTTATGAGGTAACAAAATACTCACACTTGGCGAAAAATTGTGACATCGATGCCTGTAAATGACAGACGGCCTTATAGTGATATTTTGAGCAATTTATGCATCATTCAGCCATGAAGGCAATTCCACGAGTGTTCGGACATAGACAGGTGAATGCTAACCACCATTTAGAAGCAACCACGAGTTGAGCAAGGGACCTCCTCGCGTACTTACTATTACCACACATTAGTGCGTCACTACAGGAAACACTCACTACAATAACCCTAAATGCACCAACCTGTCTGTTAGGCAAAGGAAATGTACAAGTTCTTAATTGATCGACACCCACTCGAAAGACTGCACCTGGAAACCATTGATCTCGGTTAGTATAGGAGCCACCACTTTAGGACTCACTGAAATCATGACATTGACCGACTTCCTCAAGATGCTCTATTCACTTAATTCACGGTAGCATGCTGTTGGGGTTTTCTACATGTGTTCAGTCTCAATAAACCATGACTACCCGGCTTAAAAGAAAAGCGGAGAAAGTGGCTAAAACAGCAAATAACGAGCCTACTACAGCTACCCCACTTCCTAAACTGAAATTGTACACAAAACAAGCCACACACTAGCATTCGGGAACGAAAAGCAAATTTCGGACGTGATTAAATGCTCAAATTAGATGTAGAGGCGCAAATAAAAAAATCGAGTTAGATCCAGTCGAGGGAACGCTAGGTAAAATGGATGGAATATATACCAGACAACTTCTGCATGTCTGCTCGGTGATCCAATTGACAAAGTATTAAAACATGTACCCAAAACGGGAGCGGCCTAATGGACTTTTGCCATTCGCAATAACGGGCACCTACGATTTATAAATTTACGGCGTTCCACCGGGGGTATAAACTGCAGTGATTTGCCGTTGGACGTCTTAGCACCCACGGCACAACCCCATGCGCGTCCTACGAAGTTATACCCGTAAGTTCATTAGACTGCTTTATGACCGCCCCATTAAGAGCACTTTCAGTATAAGCATAATGCCGGTATTTTGAGAAAAAAAATTTTTATAAAACGCATGAAAAGGTACAAGTTAAAAAGTGAGCGTGTGATCTTAGAGTACCAGTTAGGCATGCAAGTCCTAATCTTATTCACCAAATAAATAAAATAAATGCAATTCTTACCTGATTGAAATCTAAAAAAGAAAGTGGGTACAGTTACTGTTGATGGATCCGCACAGCGAGACTTTTGCCGAAGAAGCGATATCTGTTCATTTCATGCGCAACTCGTTCAGCGTCCGCAAAGGAACCAAACGTGATGAGTGCCTCGCCCATGAATATACCTTGTGGATCACGACGGAAACGCAACGACCCCGGGAGTGGATGGAATCGCCGGAAGATATCAAAAACGGCATCTGGATGACATCGTGGGGGGAGGTTCGAAACATGCACATTTATAGAAGTTCCAGATTTTGGAGGAGGACCAGCAGGACGAAATGGAGGATTTTGTCTATGTGGAGGAATGAACGGCCTGGGACCAATGCCTCTTGGAGGGTGTGAAAGATGAGCTGGAGGCTGCCTGAAGTCTCTGTTGTCTCTATCCCCACCGCGCATGGGTTCAGACGGGGCCTGAGGACCACCATGACGAATTTTCTGTTCATAATCAGACCTAGAAATAGCACGCATACAAATGTCCCGATGAGTAGTTTTGAGATCCGCTTCGGCGTTGGAAAAGTCGGTAAGGGCCTTCTTGCAGTTATTCTCGCTGATAAAGTCAATAGCGGCGGCTCGGTTTGATGAAAGGATGTGGATGGAATCGCCGGGAATGAGCACATTGGGAAATAATCTTGCAATATCAAAAGATGTGACATCCCGAGAAAATCCATACAGAAAGCAGCATGTTTTGGGTTCAGGTCTTGGAGAGGTCGATGATTCTGGGATTCGTTCCGAATTGTTCTGCGGGCGCCTCTCGGACGCATCGGAGACCTGAGGTTCAGGCTTCTTAGGCTGAGTTGGTTTCGATACACAGTAGGTAAACTGCATACGCGAAACGGCTAAGAGACGAACATTTTGAGTCTGATTGGGACCAAACGGACGCGGCGGGGCACCCAGAAGTATGTCCAAATCCCGGGCGGAAGGAAGCCGAACAAGAGCAGTGGTGGGACCACGTCCTTCCGACTGGACAACTTTAACGCTTTCAGCGACCAGACCAGGAACACCAAGGAAATCCACAATATCTTTTTCCGTTACATCTTTTGGGATTTCGGAAAGCTCGATGCAGCCCTCAGCGAAGTAAATCGGTTTCGTCGACGACCTGGACGGGATTTTACCTGCAAGAGCCGGCGGACATCTACTTTGGAAATTACTATCGGTAACTCGGAAAAACTCATCCACTGTAGAGTCGACGACCTGGACCTTCTTTCCATGAAAACTATGCCCGTTTGCCAGAAGCGCTCGATGATGCGATTCGATGCTACTAAGCATACAATAGACGTTGCCAGTGAAACGCTTCAGTGCATCCTCCTCTACTCGAATCCCCCACTTCGGGACTATATTAACGCCCCTCAGGATTTCAAACACATTTTTCACTGACACATCTTCGGGACACATTGAAAGTCTTACAACATAACTGGTCTCAGAAAACACCGCTTGGGGTGACACATCGTCTACTCTACTGCGCTTGTAGGGAGCCGTTTCTGGTGGATCGGGTAGTTGATTAGGTCTTTTTTGAAACTGGTGATTCTCACCTCTAAGCCACGGTGGTCGAACAGAAAAATCTCGCTCAGCACCCGAGTATCTACTTATGTCATCGCGAGAATACCCGTGCGACTGTTCAGAATATTGCCTCCCTCCGTTATGGCGACCACCGTACTCATAGCTATCATACCCATCATAGGGTCGTTCGTAGTCGTCTAATGGTTTTTCAGCGTAAACACCATTGTTTTGATGATTGAATCCAGCACCGTACGAACCTCTATCACGGGAATCACCAGCCCCTTCACGAGATGGGGCAAACTCATCAGCCCGACCTCTTTCAGGTAACACTACAGCTCCAGATTGGCTACGGAAATCTGGGAATCCACTGAACTCTGAACGATCTGAACCTCGCTCATGGCGAGGTTTTAGAGGCTCCTCATTTCGAGCTTCCCACGACCCCCCACGGGGATAACCGTAAGTTGAATCGGCCCCAGGATTATTCTCCTCTACTCGGGAGGCAACAGGAGGTCGAACTAAATGGCCAGACGGAATCTGCCTCGGAGCAGATTGAGGCGGGGTAGAGTACTGCCCCCTATCAGGTGGTATTCCAGCTGGGCCTTGACCGTGCGGATATGAGTACAAACCGCATCCAGAGAGTGAGGAAGAGGCGACTGATGTCTGAGAGGAAAGAAATTGACTTGGGAACTTTGAAGTATCTTGATGATTCGGAGCAGGTTGCATTGGCGCCTGCTGGGCAGCCATCATAACTGAGCTTCTGGCCGTTTCTATGACGGACTGCATTTCTGCTTTGCTGCTAAGAAAAAGCCGAATCTGGACAGAATTGATCTGTTGGTTATCAAGAAGCATTGCCCGCCTGGCGTCCTCATCCGTGGCAAAGGCAATGAATGCATCGCCCTTTTCGCCACCCACAATGTGCACACCTCCCTCCGGAATATTTAAACCAGCGAAAAACCTGCGGATATTGGACGCATTGGCTGAAATTGGAAGATTTTGCAGTCGAATTATGACGGAAGTCATCTAGAGAAGATAGGAACAAGAATAAGGACGAACCCCGAGAACCACAACTTAGCGACCGGCGCACAAGCAAATTAAAACAATGGAAAATTTAACCAGTTCAAGCCTAAACTAGATAAACACAATAAATTTTAATTAGTAAATTGTAAAATTATAGCAGAAATTTTAAACTCTTGTTACTAATAATTATTTTGCCGTGAAAAAAAACAGTTTTAAATTAATTCAGTAGTCTTTGTGTAAGTCTTTTATTAACGGTGATGTCTGCAAATGGATTAATTTGACCTGTCACAAAGTTCTTTTCATTTACTGAAGTACTTACTTTCACAATACAATTTTTGAATTTTATGCAAACGCAGTGTTAGACAGCCGTTAGTTCGAAGGCATGCAATTTTGCTGCAATTATCTTGTCCGCTACATTTAAGTTCATATTAATAAGTGTAACAGGAAATAATCTTGCCTGTCTTTTGTTCAGCACTCTGTAAACTTAAGGTAAGAAATTTGCGCCTGCGTTTTTACAAGTAAAATGGTCTTAAAATATGTAGAGAAGTTGGAATCCCGAACAATATTGAATATAATGTGCATACATTTCTTCCTTTACCATGGAAATTTCTAAGGCAATTTGGAAAAGTAATGTTAAGTGTTTTTCAAACTTTTCTACTTGGTGGCAAAATGTCCATTTTGCGCCCCTGACAAATAAGATATAATTGTAACTTCGTCAGTGCAAACTTCACTTAATCATTTAGAAAAGTGAGCACTGATGAAGGCCAAAATTGGAGCCAAATATTCATGTCTGTTTTTTGTTAATCAAATTTGACTTATCAATGACTGCACTCTTCTTATATTTTAGGCGTTCTCAAAGTTCATCCATGATTACAGACAAGAAAAAACTGTCCACCAAAGCCTGGCTGTCCAATGGAAACAAACAATCATTTTTACATCCAAGTGGCTATCGTGTACAATTTGTTAATCACCGAGACACAGTACAGTAAACTAGACTGCGGACTTGGTATTAGAAGAAATTGATGCAAATTATCCATAAGCAAAGTGTGCGTTTGTTGCCACCAGTTCCTAACCGTTTAAACTAGACTCTTATCTGGAGAGCGGAAATTTGTGCAGTCTGGACCAGACCCCTTTCTATCTATTGCTGAGTAATTATGCATTTAATGGGTTGATTGAACAAAAGCATCCCTTTTTGTGCAATGTCCTGAGACCTTTTTGGGTGAAAATTGTCATAGTCTGGTAAACACTACGTCAGCTAATAGGTGACATGGATAATGTAGTAAGAATTAGGGCCAGGTTAAATTCGTGCTTAAGCAAAAGCGGCTGGCAATTTACCAACACCAAAAGTGATGGTGGTATGTCCATCTTTAAAACAAAACTAATTTTGCTTCCCTGTAGTCTCAGAAACGACTGTTTATAAGAATAACGCCAGCCAAGTGTGTGTGTCGTAGTTTGGATGAGTGAGTAGATGACAAACGACTGATAACAGTAACCAATGAAATTGGGATGAATAATTGACAACTCCAGGTTAGTGTACAGGCAGCACTCACGACTGATCGCTGAAAATAGATTACAGATTGGTTACTAGCTTCACGCCCGCTAAGTGTCGGTGTGCTGATGAGTGAGCGTACGAATCAGGTGACCGGTAACAGGAACCAATTAAAATAGGCGTGAGGAGTTATCACCATCAAGTCAGTAAACAAATTCTATTCAGGCGTGATCACTGGCTTACTAATAAATCCTCCAGTAGTGTGGTTAACTGGGTCGATGTGTAAGTCACCGTAGATAGACCTGACACAGAACACGATGGCAATTCAATAATGAATTATCAGAACCACAGTCTACTCATTGATGCTGTGCACCATCATCAAACCAGCTGCAGAAGCAGGTTCAACAACATAATCTGACTGGAAATAACCACAAAACTGCTAGCCACAAGAGAAGCTATATTGACAATAATACAGGAGAGAACGCCCAGATAATCGGTAAAAATTATGTAGGCAGCAGGATTTAGATCTCAACTAGCAACTGCTAACTTGGGCCAATAACAAAATGGGTAAGTCGGGCCATCATGCACGCATCACTCACGTGAGGTGGCTGTCTGTCCACAGCACATTTACCAGAGGGATATTTGGCTAACCACTGCTCTTGTGTAGGACATTCATCAGCACCACTACGCGATGTTAAACCAACGATTGTTGATGCACAATACGCAACAAATTCGAAATCCAATTCTCCGCTATCATTGATCTTTATAGTCTTCCCGCTTATCTGCTTGGCGTAATCTGGTCGACACAATGCTCAATGGTACATTTCGAATCCTACAACAATTGTGTTTGCCTTCTTGGCTACAGAGGAGCCAGACTGAAGGTTATGGCATGAGTTAAACAGGTACAAGTTGCACGAACTGCGTTAAATAGCATGGGATGATGGATATTTAGCACGTGTCAATGTGATATAGTTGCAGGGAACAACTAGAGTTTAATGAAGATTACACGGTCTGACACTGTTCCTCCCAATCCCCCCAATAGGGCCCACGAATGAAGTCATTTTGATGGACACTCTCATTAACGTAAAGGACTTAACGACCTCGGTGCCGAGGAAGAAAATAAACAGCAGTCTAATGAAAGTCAGCCTGATAAAACAATGAGTTACGGGAAAGAAAATAGCAAATATTACAATAACCCTATTAGCCCTATCACAGTGGGTTGAAAATGGGCAAGAAGAAACGGAGTGGACGGCCCACCCAATTCCAGCCGAAGAAAGTGGCAAAAGCCAAACTAGCCAGTCCCACAATCGCATCCCTTTGCCCACGGGTCACCTCCGAGGACACTCTACAGCAGCAAAGGATGCATACAACCGTCCTCACCAACGGTCACCCAGTTCGTTTGAAGCAAGGCAGAGCTTCGGACGCTACCGTCATCTCGGAAAACCAATGGCGCTCCCTTGGTCGTCCTCCTCTCGGGGCCACCTCTGAAACGGCAAACAGTGCCTACGGTGGTGAAATTCACATCCGCGGCCAAATGCGATGCTGTTTGTCCTTCTGCGGAACAGCCTTCACTGGCACGTTTTACGCCGTTGACGCCAACCTGAACCTCCTTGGTCTGGATTGGTTCAAACAATTAAGTTTAGTCGATATCCTGATCAGCCGAATCTGCAATGCTCTACATTTGTCGAAAACATCCTGTGAAAATACTTCGGACATCATCAACCAGTTCACCATGGTTTTTCAACCCGGACTGGGACAGTTTTCTGCGATACAGGCCACTCTTCACCTTATGCCGGAAGCCATACCGGTCTTCTTTCCGAAAAGACTGGTCCTATACGCATCGTTACCGCTGGTTGAGGCTGAGTTTGGACATCTTAAACACGTAGCAGCCACTGGCCGGTATCCGGATCCTGAGAATATCTGAGCCATTCAACAAATGCCAACTCTTAAAGATGTTCAATCACTGCTCTCCTTCTTGGAACTAATCAGTCATTACCCCGCTTTTCTAACATCGATACTCAATGTCAAATCACCACTGAATCACTTGTCTGGAAAGGACGTACCTAGCATTAGGTCCAAAGAGTGTGAGGCGGCCTTCTGTCAACTCAAATCAATGCTCAGTTCGGATCTGCTACTGACACATTATGATCCGAACCTATCAATTGTTGTTGCAGATCATGCCTCTGCCAAGAACATCGGAGCCGTCATCGCCCACGTCTTTCCTGACGGCACACAAAAGGCCATAATGCACGCATCCAGGTTGCTGACAACGACAGGACAGCTGTACGGACAGATTGAGAAAGAAGCTCTTGCTTTGGTTTTCGCTGTCCACCGGTTCCACAAACTCATTTACGGCCGAAGATTAAACTTACTGACAGATCACAAGCCGCTGCTGTCGATTTTTGATAAAAAACAGGCATTCTAACTCATTCCGCGCACCGTCTGCACAGGTGGACACTTATTATAGCGAGTTATGACTTCGAAGTCCAGAGGATTTTAGGCAGGCAGACGCTATTTCAGTAACTAGACCAGCACCAAAGAAGATGCCGTCATCGCCGCCATCTACGTCAACGAAGGTACCACACAACAGCTATCTAAAACAGTTAGTGCACTACCGGTTTCAATTTTCCACATCGAACGGGAAACGGCCTCGGACAACACACTACGGCAGGCCATCCGTTACGTCCAAGGCAAATGGGCAAAGCGCTCACCCCACTGGAGATCTTCAGCAGTTGTTCCAGCGACGGAGATGTTCGCAAAACGCGTTATGGTGTTCAATTCGCTGCGCTTGCTGGTTTATCGTCAATTTCATATTGGCCATCCCAGCATCGGTCTCATGAAGTCTATCGCCCGCAGCTACGTTTACTGGCCAAATATGGATCAGCAAATTGCAGACCTAGTCAGTAATTGTGCCCAGTGCCAGCAGGCCACCAAGAACATTTCCATTGTTCGTTCAGTCCCTTGGCAAAACCACAAACACCCTTATCAAGCATTCATATCGACTTAGCTGGACCGATCAAGGGAGTCTCATACCTCGTGCCAGTGGACGCCCACTCAAAATGGCCGGATATTGTCTTAACGACTTCTCCCACAACAACAAGGACATTACAGGCACTGTCCCACATTTTTAGCCGCCATGGGATTCCGGAAACTACAGTCTTCGATAATGGCTCCCAGTTTACATCTTAATATTCCAGGGAATTTTGCCGACAACATGCAATTCACCACGTGCGTTCCCCACCCTACCACCCACAGTCAAATGGACAGACTGAAAGGTTCATTTGCACATTGAAGCAAGCCCTACTAAATCCCTGAGGAGGGAAAGACATCCGTTGGGAGCCTACGCAATTTCCTGCTGGTGCATCATACAACACCAAACTAGACCCTTCCAAATCGACAGTCGCCACCGTCGCAAATTGAGGACAAAATATACAGCTATTTTTGCCTTACAAGACAGCCACCTGGAGTCTCCAAGTACGGAATGTACCACGCCATTTGAAATTGAAACAGCCATGTACGTTCGAAAATAGCGACCGAAACACGACCCATGGATCGAGGGGACGATTGCACGACGACACGGAGAGGTAGTGTTCGACGTGACGGTGGGTCACGACACGTGGTCAAGACATCACGACCAGCTCCGATGGCAAAAAAGGCCTACGACACCTAATCGTCAGACCAACGTCCCACAAGATGTGCTGTCGGACACTTACCAGCTGGCGACATCGAAAGCAACGCAAGCGAAGCCGGACAGAGATAAATAAGCAGCTGACCAATCATCACGCCCAGTACTGAGCAGTCGGAAACGACGAAATCCAACACCACTCAAAGTCGACTCATAGAAGAAGCTTTACACACTTATCAAGGGGAAAGGTGTTAGGGATCCAAGAATCCCACCACGATAAGTCATCTCCCTTATCGTCGATGTTTTCACAAATCTCCTAACAACGCCACATCAGTGGGTGAGTCACCCACGGCATCCTACTGACAATCCCATCTGTACTAATTCGCTATCACCCATCAGTTCAAGGTCAAGTCCAAGTGCTGGCATTCTGACAGACCACACGCACTTTGGCTGATGCGATTAAAGCTCCCTACACGAGCTCTGGTCTTGTTATTGCATTAGCGTGTGGAGGTCGATTTTAGCGTCAAGACGGGATCTGGTACCGTCTTCTTCTTCATACTCACGAGACGCACATATCACACCTACTCACAGAATTCTAACCAGATGTGTCCATCGTGTCTCTCGTTTGATAAATCTGTACGACGATCAGATTTGAACTATAGGCTACCATCCTACAGTTGGTCGCATGGTATTCTGTTCCAAAACCCAATTCTATAGCAAGTAGAATAAAAACACACATTTGAAATTGCAAAGAATCACATGTATTTATTAGACTAAACTACGAATGAACGCATGATTTGCCTCCCTGCTCCGACGTGCCACGGCCGTCTTCTAGGCTGAAATGGAAACCAAATTAAAGGGGTTGCAGTGTGAGGCAATGCAGTTGTCCTTCCTCGAACAGAGTAGAATACGATGGAATTGTTAACGTGCTGCACGTGTGCAATGCCAAATAGCCGCAGGGATTAAGCAGGAAATGACAACGGTGGCGTGGACTAAGTCTGTTTCCCTGCAATTAGACTGACACCTTTCCTGAGGGTTTGCAACAGCATCATTTCAATAATTTATCTTCCCAACCACGACACCAGGAAGAACGTGCGACTGCATACATCGCCACTGTGACACAGTAAAGCACCACCTGAGGGCAACGTACATTTGAGGACGTTTTAGAAAAGGTCAAACGGCCGGTGTAGGATTGTGCTGACGACAATTTACCTGAATTAGCCCAATCAATGGCATACGAGAGGAAAGAGTCGCCGGTAGAGCAAAACACGTAGGATACGTCGTCTCCTCCGGGTTTGGCATAGACTGTCTTGACTATTTTCATATCCTCGTGGTAGGATTCAACTAGAAGAAAATGCAGAACTAACTCAGAACGTCCAAGACACCATGTTTGACACTATCTTGTCAGTGAGTAGCACGTGACGCCCCGTGCACTTTGTTAGGAATTGACATACAGCAAAGTGCATTTCGACAGATCTGCTGCCTGTGTGTCGTGGGTCACAGCGAACAGCAACCAAGCGCCGCTTCTTGACTGTCTATAAGCTAATTGATAGCATTGGGTCCGACTGGCTAATGTGCTGCATACTTCACGTTCAACAGACAAATGCGATTGGCAATATCATTAAGTGTTAGAGGCCATGATACATCTCTTCTCTATACTCCAAAGTATCAAATTCTATGTGCTGGTTGGCATCACACCGGAGTTCAACATTGAACCTAACACAAATATAGCCACACACCAGTAGTATTGCCGTGATCAAGCAGGAATACTTGACTTACTGCAGCGAGGTTCCTGGAAATCATTGCATACTGTTCCGCTCCCGTCCATTATTAACGTCTACAAAGCAGTCACAATCAAATTTGTTTATATTGGCCAAGTATACACACCCCATATGTGGAATTAAGGCACTTTTCCTACAGTAACTGTGGTGGTGATGGTGGTGTGATTGTAGAGTGACAAGTTCGATGTCATCTTTGGCGTGGCCGAATTAATAGGCTTGAGCCTCTATCCCTCACCATGATGGGAATCTGGATTTTAGAAGCAGCGCATTGAGCAGCCGCAGTTTGAAGTGCGGCGTTGTTGAAATGCTTAGCAGTTGCCGCTATACAAACACACGCCTGCGTGAGACAAGCAGAAGCATGTGTGCTGTGCTTAGGCAGAAATGCTTATTAACATTGGAAGGAACTTACGTATGGTCCCATTGGACAGTACATCTTACGAGCACAAACGATTTCCACCTCATCCCGTCCACCCGCTTTGATTACCAACGGACCAGACAGTTGTGGCTGAATGCAATCTGAGAAAAAGCGAATGGAGGTCAGCGCACTTGTCGAGGATTTATGCACATAACAAGGCTTCCATTGTGTTAACACCAGTCTATCTCCAACCTTAGATGTCCTAAAAGTAGTCTGTTTCGTTTGGGGGATACTTGTTTCAGGGTAAGTTGTTTGTTGATAGAGATGGAAGTGCAGTCTGCAAACACAAATTGTGGGTGTTTCTAGTAGCTAGACAACTTGACCTTCTATGCCTTCAATGCACCTGCCACTCGTCCCACTTCTTCGCACACTCACTAGTTTGTATTTGAGCGTGTCCGACATGGCGAATGCCACGAAAACGTGGGTGGTCTCTTGTATACGCCAGATGACGTGCCAAGCAAGTTGATTACATTAATGCCATGCGGCTACGATGTGCAACGTACTTCTGTTGATGTTGGCCCATTTGCCACCATGTGAGAAGTAGGCAGTGACGAAGGCGTGGTGACTCCAACTGAGAAGCCGGTCAACGAAGAATCCAACCCAAACCTTGTTCTCGACGTCGCACACTCTCACTTTTGCAATGAAACCACCAGATGGGTCTGAAAGTTCAAAAATACAATACGTCAACATCAACGAGATCAGCAACCATCACCGTAATATTCCCCTTCAGTGATGGTTCCAGCTGCAGCTCCACGCGTATCCTCTTTCTACCAACAACCACAGCGTTGTGCACCAATGTAAAATCATATTGAGCAATATGCGAGAATGTTTGACCTCTAGGAAACATTCCGCGTATTCGTCTAATTCATTAGCTTGCCCACGTTACGTGCACTTGGCATGAATGAGTCGTGTGCAACACGGCTTGTGTTTTGAAACACGTTCAGCCTAACCTGTGACACCTACAAGTTGTCGCAAGTGCCACTGTTTGGCACATGAATGTTCATCTAGTCGTCCACAACATCTGACGTCAGCGTGGAGTCGAAGAGGCGTGGGTATTAGTGCGTCTAAAGTCACAAGCAAATCGAATGCACACTCACCAAGCGTTAGCGAACATTCCAAGTAGTCATTGTCGACATTCATGTTGGAGCAGGTAAGGTTGCCGTCAAATTCGTAGCGGTTATGGTCGACTTGAACAGCCTTGAAGGCAGAAAAATTACTGTGAACTGGTGGTGTCAGCTTTAACCAAATGCGACCCAAGAAATTTGCACAACTCTCCTGAGCAATCAGCATGCCCCAAGACTATTCACCGCTAAGTAGTTTAAACTTCTCCCCTAATTCACGGCATTCCACTGACCGCTTTATCTGGCTTAATTCATTATGATCCATCAGGTCACAGTGATCACTGACCTATGTAATCTCACACATTCTGGTATCACTTGGTCTTTGGCTATGACAATAAGGGTTGGTAGTGAATCGTGTTGTTACAGCCTCACACATGCGTCCCATTTCCAACGGCGCGCCCGTCAGTCAAGCGGAAGGCTTGCTTATTAACCCCTCTGCATGCATCACCATTACACGCTTTATCTTCGTTGATATCAGGGTGGCGTAGTCGGGCTAAACTTAACCCAGTGGCCCTGGCGTGGCATTCAACACGTCTCCGCACGAGGAATTGCCTCTGTTCTGCACTGGGAAGTCAAGCAAGGGATTTGGTCGCGTGATTTTGGTTACGAGCAAAAGGTAGCAATGCCTAAGCAGCTTAAAGTGTACTGGAGTGCTTATGATGAGGACATAACGTGCATGTTAAGATAACGTACCGAGAATTCGTAAGGAAGATTGACAGCAACATCGACACATCCGCTTGGCGTGTCAACGATGAAGTGGCCATTGACGCCAACTGCAAAAAGATAAGCATACTACCATTACCTGGCTAATAATCACAGATCGCTACTGTGCTCCTAGTGTATTTCAATTATACGATGAGTCGGGACAGAAGGCAAAGGCAGACGTAAGCGTGAGACCACGTCAGTGGTTACCATCGAATTGGGTTCATCATTTATCATCTAGGCTTTCGAGGCAAAGTTATATGAAAAGAATGGAAACAATAAATGGAACTATGCACTTCAAACACAATGAAGTGGACTTCAAGCATTGACAAAGAGTTGCAACTCAGTGAAACGTATCTGCCTACCTCCTGTGAAGCTGGCGATGCAAGTTGTGAGGATGACGAGAACTCCAAACATGCTTGAACCTCTAACTCACTAGTCTCCTAATCCGCGCCATTTTATACCACTTGGTTGCACTTCGCGTGAGCGTTGATTGGTGTAACTTAAGGCCCCGTGTTTACCTGAATTGCTCCAGATTGCAACATTCCGATACAGGGGTGTTTGAACTCCTCTGAACACTCCATCACATTGACTCCACTCGCGCCAAACCAGTTGATCGCCGTGTTAAAATCACAATAATACACAGTTGTGAAATCTTGGACGTAGTGTGGACAGATGTTACTGCTAGTTTTCAATACAGCATGAAAATCTTCTACTTTTACATATGTTAGTCCCAGTCTAGTGTCACAAAGTGCCAAAGCAAAGCTCTACGCAAAATAGTAGGCAGTTTATGCGGACATGTTGTCTGAGTTTGTGAGATGAGATTCCACCTTCTGTCAAATGCACACGTTTTCACCTACTGCCTATTCAATTGTTTGAATTTGTGTTTCCCTTGACCCTCGTAACCACGAAAACACGCACTCAGATAACCGGTAGCCAGGTCCCTTCTCTGACGCTAGAACCGACCTTCCCAGGCTAATGCAAGACATGACAATGCATCGTGCAGAGAGCATTCGTCGTCCCATCCAAACACCGAGTCATGTGCCACGATGTCAACACTTATATACGCCAAGGTTGACCTTGACCTGACGGATGATAGCGAATTAGTATAGATGGGATTGTCAGTAGGTTGCCGTGGGTGACTCAACAACTGGAGTGGCCAGGTTTGGTCAATTGTGTAATCAGTGATGAGGCCCGGCGATGAGCTATCTTGGGGAATCCTGAATCCTCAACAACCTTCCACCTAGAAGAGTGCGATAAATATGCCAAGGGAAGAAAGGCAGTCCATGTTAATGCTAATTTGGCCCACGTGTGCCTTGTTATGCCACTAGTTCCCTTGCCACTTTCATTTGGAGCATGACATTATTATGATACCGGCAGAGCAGTGTTGAGTTGCCTGCATTTGTGCTGAAGTGGATTGCTTAGTAAGCATTACCGATTTTTGATAATTCATTTTGAAAATTGGTTGTCATTTCTGGAACCTAATTTGGTCTGCAGCTGTAGGGTTGGCTTTGACGTGGTGCTTAAAATGACCACCTGAGACTCAAATTACCTTACACTGACTCAGTAGCATGAAATCTGCATTTGGCCTCAAAGACGTATGTGAGTAGCTTGTAGCGGCCAGATTTGAACAACTTTCTTCTGCCGATTTCGCACGCAATCTAAATCATCACTCTATTTGTCCAACTAACATTGATGGCAACTTCAACAAACCCCCAGAGAATGTCCTTCTCGTCAGTTAACTGTGTGTGATCAATTCAAAGGCGAATAGTTGTCGACAGATAATGAATGAAACGCTTGGCGCCATTGTTCCCTGTCGGAACACGTTTTAGTTGATTTTGCTGCTGCAGTTACAACCCTTTTTTCCAGCCAGATATCTGTAAGGTTGGTCGTAAGGCAGGTGGCGCATGACGCCTGAGCGTTGGCGTCAGATATTTGAGGTTGCACGACGTAGTCAAGAGTCTAGAACGAAGCCGGGAATTTAGTAATGAAGCTACTGCTATACAGAAGGGTGTAGAGTGAAATCCAGGTTGAGCGGAAAGACGGAATCGGGGCCTGGAGATGAGCCTTGTCGAATAGTAAGGATCGCACTCTGATATTCGAAGGAGGGCAGAATGGCTTGAGATGTGACTTTAAAAGGACGCAAAACAAACTCACCACGTCGCTTAAGTCGGACAGGAAAATCACCAATTGCAGGGTCGGAAAGATTGAAAAACGGTCACGTCAGGAACGCAGGCGTGACAAAGTAGTCAAATGGAAGTCAGGTGCCGGAGATTGGGAGTTGTCTAAATGGTCACCTAAGTAAAGCGGTTAGTAGTGGTGTATACAGATAAGGAGATAATGAGCAGGCGGTCCCAGTGACTGACGGCCACGCCGTGGAAAGGGCGAAGTGTGTGTGAGGTTGTGACGACCGGGTTATTGGACGCGAATCAACACGATTCACTACACATGTACCACAAGCACACTCTCACACCTACTGCGTTAGAGAGTTACTCGAAGTACAATGGACACGTTAGTCGATTTAGGCTTGAAATCAAGAAGGTTCGCCGGTGTCACCATGGTTTCATGAATTTGGCCCGTTTTGAGTCCTTCTGATCAGCTCCAACACACAGCATCTCCATTCCTGTGAATTGCCATTAGGTTGAATGACCGCGTCAACGGAAATCAGTCGATCAAGAAGTTAATTCTCAAACCCTCTTTCTTTCATTTTTTAGACTGCTCCTAGGCTTTGGGGTATACACTGACGCATAATGTCACTGCAATGTTTTCTCTCACGTCGAGGTGAACACAAGCCACGAATAAAGTTTGAAACTCAAAATGAGGTTGATATCGGTTCACTAACCAAATCAAACTCTGCAGATGCGTATAAAGATAAGGAGGACTGCAGATGACACAGAAACGTCCGATTTAGGTAGATCAACCGACTTGGGTTTGTCGTGTGTTGTGCATTGCGAGTAAGGGCCACTTCAGCAATTTCACTCAAAATGTATTAATCAACAAGCCACACTAGTTAGGCACACCACAACACGTCTAGTTTGTGCTATCTAACTAACGGCGGCGCTTCTGGTTTCCCTATATTTTCGGCCGTCAATGTGGCGAGATCGGACCAATTCAACGTAGCGACAAAGGTGCTGCTGTAGACCGCAGGTCGTGGTGTAGCGGACTGTCAGCGACTGCGAGTGGGGTTTGTTTGCTTACCTGATGGGGTCAATAACTCATCCCTATTCTTCATTGATCACTGTTATCAGTCGCCTGTCACCCATCACTCATCCTCACACAAACCCACACATGCCTGCCTTGACGCTGCCAATAGCTGACTTCTTTTCCCCCTATGCTCTCGTGTTCGTTAAGACTATAAATTAGAGGGTTTTGACATAGTGCTAGGCAGAGCACTGCAGATGCCTCTAGCAAGCCACCTGATGCAGACACATTCTGCAACACGAATTGACAGTAAGGTAGTTCAAATAACTTAATTATTATAAGAGCAATAAAGCCAGCTAATTTTACTTCTTATATTTGAACTGACATATGGATGAAGGTTCTGATAAGGCGGTTCAGCCGTGAACGAGGTACTAGAGAGCCGATTTGCTTGGACATCAGTGTCATTTTAGTGTGGACAATTAGAATGGAGGAGAGGCATTAATTGCGTATTTACAGTAGATTTCGTGTAAGTCTTATTGTGTATTGGAGTTAAAATGATTAAATCGGTACATTCAGTTGCAGCAAGCATGTTTGTTTTCAAACAATGAAGTGTTTACCAAATGACCATTTCATTTGCGCAGTTGTGTAATTGTGCAGTTAGCAAAAATTGTAGTCCGTATTCAAGTGGGCGGCATTATTAGCAAATACGATGTTGGATTGAATGACATTTCGTCACCTAATTTCTCTAATTGTCTTGTCTTCTTGCAATACCAAGCCGCTACTACGCTGAATAACTCAATGTCAATTGTAAGGCAGAACCATGCGTGCAACGTGACGAACGGCGTCGTCAACCAGTCATCAAAGGCTCAGAGTTCCTTGGCTAACCATTGACATACGGGTTTGTACTTTAAATTGACTCCTTCGCTATCAACTCAACTACTTCCATCTCCAATCTAAGATGGACATCAAACAAAACCTCAACACAAGTAGTGATCGGGTACTGAACAAACACCCAATCAACGCACATTAAAGCCAAAGCTCCTGATGAATTGCAGTCCTACAGTTGCAGATGCAAGTCAATCTTATCGGACAGACCTTCGCTAGTAGTGCCTTGAGCTGATTCACGTCAACTAACCACGTCGTCGTCTTCACCACCACACTGACCCAGTTTTCACTGCCTTTCTGTGTCAATCACAAGAGACCCTCTGCTCATGCCGCCCTGTTTGTGCACCTCCCTCAAACTACCCGTTTCATTCAGCTTGGCATTCGATCATTTGTACTGTTACGGGTTCATCCTGAAATATATTGTTCAATTTCCCCGTTTTCAGACACGAATTCCTATGCGTAGTGGCGACTTATAAAATCACAACCAGATTCAGCTATATAGAAAGTGGATTCGTCTTTGGCGTTTCCTGTCCACTTGTGCTTCATGGATATCAGTGTAGAGTAGTGGAACCAATTGAGCGCATCGTCTATCCTGCTTGGTTCCAGACCACATATCCCGGCCCTCAGAGCACCAAGGCGAGTCCTTTGACGGTTCACTAGGGCACTCTGTCTCGCCTATCTACACCGAAACAATAATGTCGTAATTATTGGGCAGTGCCTTTTCTCCTGACGTTCAAAGCAGCAAATGAGAATCTAAACAGGGCTTGATTACTAAAACGTAAGTTCATTTAGGGCTCGATTTCGACAAAACCGTATTGGTGGGAAGCATTATGCAGCCATGCAAATGTCCGTAGCCGAAAATTGTTCACAATGTAGTCGATGTTAGGTTTCGATTGGGATATCACCCACAGTTTAATTGCCTGATTACGGGAACCGTCAGAGTGATGAAAGCGAATACGTTAGATTTCTGTCGGATATAAAATGGCGCATGTAGTAATATGGTAATGATATAATGATGAATAAAATAGTCGACATCGTGGCATTCCTTTGGACCGATTCACGGGTTCTTGCATCGTGATTAGAGTTGGTTTGGGCTCGTTAATCCGGCCACATGGTGCACCCTTTTGCCATCATGTCGTCAGCTGCGCGATATCTCAACATCCTTCCTTCTAGATTATCCTCACACCTAGGTCTCGATGTTAGCCCATTTCTGACTCACGCATCTAAGCTGCACATACACGCGCACACTCCACCAACAATATAGCAACATCAAAGGGGATGAGATCTGAAGTAATCGGTTGTGTCCGCGTCCTCTCATTACCTCCGTTTAACAACGGTTAGTAGGGAAGAGGAATTAGGCCCACAACACTGGCATACTGTTCTTGGATTGT